CCTTGAAAATTTCTTGTGAGCAACCTCTCTGCTTTTCTTTCAACTGTCTTTTCAGTTCTTTGTTTTGTCTTTTCCAATTTTAATTTGGTTGTTGTTCTTGACTGTTGTTGAGTCACACCCCCCATTTCCACCCTTGTCTGCACACACCACTATGTCCAAATTGCTAGTAAGAAACTTTTTTGTTGCTTTTTCTTTATTTACCTTTGTTGCATCTTTATCAAACTCAGTTTCTTTCAGTCACATTGACCTTGTTTGTTTTCCTGTGGTTGTTTGTGTTGCTTGTCTTGGTGCCATTGTATTAATCCTAGCTAGCTCAATGATGCATATCGTGTAGTTTTCAGAAATCAAATTGTTCGTGGTTCTAACACCTGTATTAGCAACACACTCTGTCTACAGTACTTTTGATTTGGTGTCACACAGCAAACCAGCATTGTCAAGCCATATTTTCCACCTTTACCTCTTTTGGTTGTACCCAATGTAATTGTTTTGTTTGGGTTGTACAATGGTATGGAAAGAAAAATGATCCAGACAAAAATCAAGACTGGATGAATCATGATTCCTGTTGAATCCAGGTTTGATTCAAATTTATTTTTTGCAAGTTCAAACTTGATTGCTGTTCAATTGTCATCTGATTCTACCCCCCTTGCCAAAATTCTGATGTTTGATTTGAAACCTACTAATCAAGATCAGATAAAACATAATCAACATTGCATTCTTACGGCTTTCATTTTGATTTCATCTATATTCTCCCTGTATTCTTCCCTGGCCCAACAAAATTGAGACTGGATTGGACCCAGATTGCCCCCCAGTCCAACAAAATTGAGGTTGAATTTGAACCGGAATGTCCCCTTGTCTAACGAAATTGACATTAGATTGAACCAGTCTTTCCTCCTCATCCAACAAAATTGATGTTCAATTTGACCCAGATTGCCCCCCCCCCCTCCAACAAAATTGAGAATGGATTGAACCCAGATTGTTTCCCGGTCTGACAAAATTAAAATTTGATTGGACCCAGATTGTCTCCTTGTCCAACAAAATTGACATTAGATTGGACCCGGATTCCCCCTGGAACGACAAAATTGATGTTCGATTTGACCAGGATTGTAGCTCTCATGACAACCCCTGAGGTCCAGGCTTTTTGCAGAATGGTCAGAGAGGACTACCAAGACAGAAATTCTTGGGATATGCCTACTAGCAAGAGAATCCCAGTGAAAATGTTTTCCAGGATGGAGGTCAATTCTATTCACTGGAACTCTTTCAGTCACAAAGCCTGGGAGTCTTCCCTGTACCTTCTCTGCAAAAATATGAGCTGCTGAGTTGATACTGTCCATATCCTCAGTTGTCAAGGACAGCCTTCCAACAGAGGAGGCAATCACTCTTGCTGATGCTTGGCACCATTCCTTGGTGGCCTTGAAGTTCTCATGAATGGATGAGGCTTCAAAGGAAACAACTGAGGTTTAGGAATCACAGCTGTACTAGGAAGCTCAACTGGAGGAATACATGGAGGCTTAGCAATGGGCTGAGTGGAAGATAAGTCCTTCACCAATTGGGAGAGAAATTTTCCTTCACAAATTGGGAAAGAAATTTTCCCTTGGTCTTGTTGTACACCCTCCCCTTGCTGACACATTTCACTGTACTAAATACTGATAGTGGTGGTAGTTCGTAATAGTAGTACTACATACTAGTACACTGTGGGAGGATGAGGAGCTGCTCCAACAAAACACCAATAGCGGCACCAGGTAGTTCTAGAAGATATGGACAACAAGGATGAAAAAAATGGCACAGGCTTGCCTGTTTGTTTCTTGCATCATATCATGGACTAAAAATAAAACCTGACAGTTGACATTTTGTCAACAACCAGATCTTCTTCTTGTAGAGAAATCATATGTAATCAGCCACTGCTTGACACCATCTTATTTTGTGACATAATTTTCTTTTCCTGTCAAAACCAAAAACAAACCAAAATGAAACAACAATTCAGTGCTGAACAGTCTCAAAAAGTATGAATGGCCTTACTAGACAGAGTGCTAACAAGAACTGCACAACCACAAAGACTACTAATACTGATGCTGCTGCTACTACTAGTACCAGTGTTGGTAATACAAGTCATAGCAAGRACAAAAAGGTGGGAGGAAACAAATGGATAGGGAAAAATTCTGCAAAAAGTGGTAGAGCCACTAAGCAAATGAAGAAACAAGTCCCAAGATTAGGGGGTAAAACCAGTAGCACAGGTGGGGAGGAGAAGAACAGGAACAACAAAGAAAACATTTCCATCAATGCTACAACAACAGGAGAGTCTAAAAATGAAGCTATGGTAACAACAACGACATGGACTATGACAACAAAGAGGATTCCAATGACAAATCCATGGATAATACTGTAGTCATGACTGATCCAGAGGAAATTAAAGTGTATCATCAGTACTTAAGAGGAGATAAAAAACTTTCTGGACCTCCAATGGACAGCATCAGTACTATAACTCCACACACTGGCTGGCACTACCAGCCATGAAGTACTGAAGGGTGAGATGTCTACACAGGTATTGGTATAAGTGAAGAATAGTTGGTATGCGAGCCTCAAGTTTCCAAATGACAAAGTCATCCCAATGATTGTCCAGGACATCGTGGACCAAAAATCTGTTGCCCAGCCAAAGGAGATGTCAAAAACTGATTTTAGATGGTGGTTGGAAGGCCAAATTCCAAGATCCTCAACAACACTCTGTGGAAATATCCAAAACTATGCAAGGAAGAACAAGTATCTAAGTAAGATCAAGAATGCTGTGACGTAATGTTGGGCAATCTTGGAAACCGATGCAGCACTCCCCCTAACTGCTTGTTCATGTTCTTCTGCTTGGCTTTTCCTAAACCTATATAGATGATTACACCAAGGGTGGTAATAACAGATGGTTTTTCACAGACGATTGCACTGGTTAAGTGGATGTGGGCCCGGGAGGTTGGAGTATTCCCGGTGGGTACAGGCAGCTTAGTGATGATGGATTTGTGGCACCAGAGTTTTATTATTTTGTGACCCAACAAATAATGGCATCCGTCAGCCCAGGCAGAACCGACTTCAAGAAAAGGCAGGCAAAGAATTTGCTTAGTGAAATATTCACAGTGACAGATGAGGCTTTCACTCTACTATTCCTTCACAATGAATTTCATCTTTTGGAGAACAATATTGACATAAAGGTGCTACTAGGCAAGGACATTCCAAAAATTACAACATAAAGATATTGTGATCCGTCAAGTGGGAAAAGGAAGGGTGGCATTAGCAAGGAAGAAAACTATATAGTAGCTATTTGTGCCAAAAGGAATTGCTACGCAAATGCCCAGAAATGGGAAAGGACTTTGAAAATAAACTCAAGGAAAGGTTTCTACTTGAAGAAGGCATACTATCAGTGGGGAATCCTAATGGCGGCAAGGGATGTGTATTGGATGATGATGATGATGATGATGAGGATGATTTCATTATCCTTCCATTCAAGAAAAGTTGGAGCAATATTGAAAGGGAAACCTTCCTTTTGAAGGGGTCTAGAATGTGTGGTGGTAACAATGGCTTTCATTAGTACTGTTAGCAGTAATATCATAGTGAAGTTAACATAATCCGTATGTTAAAAAAAGGAATCACATTGGTTGGGCATTGGATTCTTTGATTTTAATTACAGAAAATTAAAAAAAAGTTTTTTCCCCTTAAGAATCTGAACCAGAACTATTTATTCCAGTCAAACAACTTAAGGTTTCAAAACTGAATCAACTTATTTCCAGTATGTACGAACTTAGAAAATTAAAAACCAAACTATTATTCCAGTCATGCTGCACCTCAAGAATTTCAAAACAAAACTTTTTATTCCAGTCACCATACCTTCAAGATTTCRAAYKGAACAATTTATTCCAGTCACAACACATTCAAGATTTCCAACCAAACAATTTATTCCAGTCACAACACCCTGGAATTAAAAAAAACTGAGCAAAAAATAAAAACAACGAGCAAGCTGAATATTCGTTATTGAATTTTTTTCTCATGACGGGTTCTTACGGAAAAATAAAAAATATAAAATGAAGGTAGTGAGTCGGGTTAGGAATTTTTCATACTGTGTTGTTTTCCCTAACAAAATGGTGGTACAGACAGGTATGGAATACAAAAATATACAACCTTGGTGACACCAGTTCTCGGACGTTGAGTTTTAGTGGTAGCCATAGGCTATGCCACCAGAAGAGGCAGGAGGCTTATGCCCTGGGAAGGGTTCTAACCCCCCCTGACACAGTTCTTGTAGGAACATACCAATTCATAAGACTGAACAATTGAGCTGAAAACAGCATGCTCAAGCTGTAAACTAATGTAGATTACTGTATATAATAGTTCTTGACTAACTTGATTCAGGAAATGGGCCTCCACGTGGCTGACGCAACATCCGGAGTAAAGTAATATTTTCGTCCGTTGAGCCTATTTCAAACCCTCATTTTTTCAATTACGTGTCGATTAAACTTCTTTCACGAAAAGGGAGTTTTTTTTAAATCTGACTTTTATTGGTCAAATCTTGATTAATGGGACTTACTAGAAGCAGTTAATTTGTAATTCTTCTCGCAGTTCGTCTCATTACGCTCAATCGACGTTGGGACTGTCGCAGATAATGCCCTACCTATTACTAGAATAATTCTACGGCAGGCCGGCATTCCTACACAACATATAGTGAGCGAAAATTGTTCGTCACAAAGCGAAAATCGCTTGTCATGAAGGATTCCCAACTGCCATCATCACCGATACTGCTCCTAGCTTCTCCCAGACACGATGCATTGCAACGAGCTGGCCGCCTGATATATTGAAGGAATCTTTTACCATGCAATCGGTTGAGGGATTCCCAACGTCTACCGTTGGCGATAAGACGATGTGGCCATAGCATGACGGATTCCCAACGTCCAACGTTGGCCATAGCATGACGTGGCGATAGCATGACGGATTCCCAACGTCTAACATTGGCGATAGCTTGACGGATTCCCGATGTCTAACATTGTCGATAGTATTCTGAGCTTCAAGGCGCGCCAGGCAGCTCCGCTTTTCTGTCGTACGACGGAATCGGTAAAGTCTGACATCAGGACCATCTTTTGTTGTTGCCGTTCCCAGAGAGCTGCATCGCTTCATGAGACTCGTCAATGTTTCAAGTTCTGTTCTCTCCTTCGGTTCTTGTCATAATTTCAGAGTCCAACGCAACGAATCAAAATGAAGTTTTCTATCGCCGCTTCCGCTCTATCTACTCTCATCCTTCCTTTCATGGTTTTGGCAGAACCCTCCTGCACCCCCTGCCCGGAACCTTATGCCAACTTGATGTTTTGGGAATTGTCATCTGGTAAGTTTGGAAGTTGAAAGAGACACAACGTATGATTTTATTGATAGTTTTGAATTACAGTCGCACCTGAGCTGACCCATGGCCGGTTGATATATTCTTATCCTTCTTTTGCAATCCCACGTGATTTATTCATGGCACAAACCACTATTGTTTCCTCAGATGCTGTCGTCAATGCCGAATATCTCGGTTTCACCTCGGAGGCCTGGAATGCTGGAATGGAAACTTATGCGACAATGCTTGAGTGGGACGACCTCGAAGACTATCAGATAAGTGCGGCCAATCACCTTTTTGGATGCACTAGTGAAAGCGAATGGAATTGTGAAATCGAGGAAGCTGAAATGAGCCCCACTGTGGATCCCCCAACCGCGGGAAATTGTATTGATATGTACCGTTTTGTCGAGTACGGTTTACTCCCAGGAGGTAAGTCTGCCTATCTCGAACCTCAACCACCAGTACACATTTAGGAGAGATCACTTCTAGATCAAGAAAGCAACTTCTGCCAACCACAAACTGTCCTTTTGTTTTCACTCTGTACCATTTGTTCCATCAACACCTTGCAGAGGTCAAAGAAGCTGCAAGAGAGCTCGCTTACACCGCCGATGCGTGGAATGCTGGGTTGGACACCTTCAAAACCTCGTTGTATGACTGGGATGATCTTAACTCCGACGAACAGGCTGCCGCTCATGTCTTGGGATGCCCCTTGGATGGTGGAGACTGGGATGGCTCACTCTGATTTTCTTCAACGGCTGGCTGCATGGTGAAGATGTGTTGATAAATCAGCCGGATCTGATTCCGATAGGAAATACTTGTAGCATTTTCTAGAGTTTAAAAGTAAAACCATATTTTTCAACTATCGATAATTTAGAACAAAACCCAAGAATACCCTAAAAAGAATTGAATCATTTTGTTTCTTCCCCCAGATAATCACATTAAGTAGTACATGGTAATTAAAGGAATATGTTTGCCGGATAGTACAGCAAACCGCATAGCATTAGACAAGGAAGAATCGCAGCTAAAGTGTGACATTCGACCAGATTACAACATGGGCAATCCTATGATGATGCTGAATCACAACAAGCTGAGCTATTCAATATGACAATGCAGGAAAATGACGCTTCTTGGAACTGGGATGATCCTGTTGCCCCTCGCAACATTGAGTTCTTATCGTATAGGCTGGGCCATGCGTTTCCGGCCGAAAATATCGGACATTTTTGAATACGGATATACGTACATGAATATCGATCAATATTCAACGTACGCCGTTCTCCCCCACGCCATTAGAAAGCTCGTTGAATTCTCTTTTCAACCATGTGCTTNGAATAGCTCTAACAAGAAGCAAAAGAAGAAATAAGTCCAGTATTACTAATATTATTAATAGCAACAGTAGTTTTTGGTCAGATTTGTGTTAATTTTGTGTAGCCCTAGTACTAATTTCTACATAGGACGGGTATAAAATTTAGTACACCTATAGGCGTACTTCCTTACTCCTATTAAGGGATCAGCATTTCGCAGGTTATGAGCTCACATCTAGACTAAGAGGAGTGTGACCAAGTGCAGGTATTTCGGAATTATTCTCGGAATTATTCTCAATGTGTCCAATTGGCGTACGTTCTTGAGCAGCAATAATGCCTTTGAAGAAAAGGAAGTTTTTCAAAATATGATTTTGATTGGTCACATCTTGATTTAAGGGGAGTGATGATATACGCACTTCTTCTCGTAGTTCTTCTCTATGTGCTCAATCGCAGTTCCCATTTTACCAGATGATGTCCTACCTGTTACCGGCATATTACGGTACGCCGCCAATAGGAATCAACACAACTCATGGTGAACGAAAATTGTTTGTCACAAAGCGAAAATTGTTTGTCACAAAGCGAAAATTGTTTGTCACAAAGGATTTTCAACTTCTATCTGTGAGCCTAAATCACGAGTAGATTGTGAATAAGCTCACTCTTTATTGTAACCACGTGTTCACGTACACTAAGGAGCCTACTAACATTTCAACGCATTGCAATGAGCTAGCCGCCTGACTCATTGAAGGAATCTTTTACCATTCAATCGGTTGAGGGATTCCCAACGTCCACGTTGGCGATAGCATGACGGATTCCCAACGTCTAACGTTGGCGATAGCATTCTCAGCTTCAAGGCCTGGTTTTGTTGTCGCCGTTCCAAGTGAGCTGCATCGCTTCATTAGACTCGTCAATGTTTACAGTTCTGTTCTCTCGTTTGGATGTTGTCACAATTTCAGAGTCCAACACAACGAATCAAAATGAAGTTTACTATCGCCGCATCCGCTCTATCTACTCTCATCCTTCCTTTCATGGTTGTGGCAGAACCCTCCTGCACCCCCTGCCCGGAACCTTATGCCAACTTGATGTTTTGGGAATTGTCATCTGGTAAGTTTGGAAGTTGAAAGAGACACGACGTATGATTTTATTGATAGTTTTGAATTCCAGTCGCACCTGAGCTCACCCATAGCCGGTTGATATATTCTAATCCTTCTTTTGCAATCACACATGATTTATTCATGGCACAAACCACTGTTGTTTCCTCAGATGCCGTCGTCAATGCCGAATATCTCGGTTTCACCTCGGAGGCCTGGAATGCTGGAATGGAATCTTATGCGACAATGCTTGAGTGGGACGACCTCGAAGAGTATCAAAAAAGTGCGGCCAATCTCCTTTTTGGATGCACTAGTGAAAGCGAATGGAATTGTGAAATCGAGGAAGCTGAAATGAGCCCCACTGTGGATCCCCCAACTGCGGGAAATTGTATGGATATCTACCGTTTTGTCGAATACGGTTTACTCCCAGCAGGTAAGTCTCCCTATCTCGAACCTCAACCACCAGTACACATTTAGGAGAGATCACTTCTGGATCACGAAAGCAACTTCTGCCAACCACAAACTGTTCTTTTGTTTTCACTCTTTTCCATTTGTTCCATCAACATCTTGCAGACGTCAAAGAAGCTGCAAGAGAGCTCGCTTACACCGCCGATGCGTGGAATGCCGGGTTGGACACCTTCAAAACCTCGTTGTATGACTGGGATGATCTTAACCCCGACGAACAGGAAGCCGCTCATGTCTTGGGATGCCCCTTGGATGGTGGAGACTGGGATGGCGCACTCTGATTTTCTTCAACGGCTGGCTGCATGGTGAAGATGTGTTGAATCAGCCAGATCTGATTTCGATCTGAAATAGCATTTTCTAGAGTTTAAAAGTAAAAGAAATAAATCATTTTGTTTGTTCCCCCAGATAATCACATTACGTAGTATATTGTAATTAAAGGAATATGTTTGCCGGATAGTACAGCAAACCGCATATCATCAGACAAGGAAGAATCGCCGCTAAAGTGTGGCATTCGACCAGAATTACAAAACGGGCAATCCTATGATGATGCTGAATCACAACAAGCTGAGCTATTCAATATGACAATGCAGGAAAATGACGCTTCTTGGAACTGGGATGATGCTGTTGCTCCTCGCAACATTGAGTTCTTATATTGCAAGACCTTTTTCGACGACATTGTAATAGTTCATATGGGTACTATCTAATTGACGTTGATTACTAAATTAGCCTCTGAGCCATCCAAACATTCCACCACTAGAGCTACCRCCGTTCCCCAAATCTTTTTCTTCCTTGTCTACCACACTCGAGACGGGTGCCGCTGTGTGTTGGTACAAAAAGTCTTCCAGAGCATCCAYGCTCTTGGCCGTGTYAAAGGCGTGCCCATAGACCAGATCATAAAATACAGGCTTGCAAGGGAGTGGCATCGGACGAAGATCGGCAATCGGCACATCGGGGGCTCCTCCATCGTATTCATATAAGCGGAGCAGGAGGGGTCGATCCGTCGTGACCGGTTCCTGCCAGCAGGATGGGGAGCTACCATTTGCAGCTGCGGCACCCGCAGCTTTTTGAAGCTTGCGAGCRTGTTGGCGCTGCTGCAACGCCATGGCTGCCCGAACAGCCCCCGTGGCACTCTCCAGAGGAAGGTCCTCTAGTTGCTGGAGGTACTTATCGGCATGGGGCATATCCTCATCACAGGCGGCGATTTCTTCCTCGGCACGTTCAGACAGCTTGGCAGAGTGTTCCAAGAGGGCAAGRGCGGGACCGTACTTAAAGAGTTGGGTGTAGTAGCACCATCCCATGTAATATGCTTTGAGGGCTCGCAAYCGCAGAATGTTCGCCTGGACTTGCAGGATGAATTCGTCTTCTTCGTTTGCACTACCTCCGCTATTATTTCCGTCGTCAGGATGGGGCAAGTTCAGCAACGATTTGGCATGCTGTAAAACAGCATCGTAGATATGGACCTTCTCTGCTGGACCCATGCTCTCGCCCGAATCGGTAGTGAGTAGATTTTCTGTATGTTCCATGACCTTTCGGGTTTTGCTGTACTGCAAATAGCCTCTCCATAGGGAATATTGCTGAAGCTTTGCTTGAACCGCGGGTCCACTGGACGAAGAAGCTTTGGAGAGTCCTTGTTCAAGCAACTGGACGACTTCCATGGCATCATCCAGGATGGAAAGAGCCGTCAAGAATTGAGTCTCCTTAAGCGTCGCCGATGATCCTTTTTCTGCCTCTTCTTTTTGTTCTTGTTCTACTGATTGAAGCTTTAGTAGCAATACTCTCAAATCTTTGTTGTCCAGAATCAATTCACGATCTCGGAATACAATAGAATCTTCATCTTCGTGTTCTTGTTCCTGTCCACTGCTCTGCAATCGTGGTTCTTCCATAGTGKGCTGCCCAGCCTGTTTCAACTCGTACTGACAATAGCGAAAGAGAGGACGCAAGATGGTATCTGCCCTAGTAATAAACAAGTCGTGCCGTTCCAGGCGCTGTACATYATTCGTTCGATCGTTCGCACTGTTGTCAGTGTCATTTTCGCCACTCAATTCGTGGCACAATGACATGGCACGGGCGTAACCCTCGCTTGCGATCTAAGAAACAAATTTTTGACAAAGAAAGCTTCTCGTGAGTGTGCTTCATATACTAGAACAAAGRTTGATTGCTTTCAATTCAGTCCCTATTCAMAAAATCAGGTTGTTTGTTGGAAAAAAGTATGTCCCACTGTTGCGTCTTGTGTGCTCGGGCTGTTTGCTTACCTGATATTGCWTCTGTTCCAGGGCGTAATTCGCGGACATCCACGCCGCGTATGCTTCACATTCTTTCTGAGTTTCCTCATCGGTGCTGAACTTCGCCTTTTCCACTAGGAGCTGGGCCCATTTATTGGCACGCTTGAGCTTCTTGAGGATGGGTTGCCTTCGCTTGATTTGGTTAGCCTTCTGAATTTCATTCGCATGGGCCCATGAACGCTCGGCGTTGACCAACAGGTACCACAATATATTCTCGTGCGATACCGGCACTTGCACTACCTTCGTTGTCTTTGTTTCTGCTGCAGCTGCGTTTACTGGTTCAGCAGCATCGGMCTCGACTTCAACCTCTTTCGTCAAGGCAAAGGTATCATGGGAGCGACCGCAAAATGCATGGCGGCCTCCGGGAGTTTTCGGCTTTGATGGATTKGAGGAAGCGTACTTGCTGGAATTCACCAAGTAGGCCTTTGCCCCGGAAGGCTTGTGAGAGAGACGAGACAGCCGGCGGGTACAATACGCGTGGTATTGCGCGTAATCATCGTGCCGGACCCCGTGCGATGTTTGTTGCGAGTCGAGCCAGGCATGGATGTCCAAGTGAAATATTTGTTGCGAGCTTTCCGTTCCAGAGGAGGACATGTTGSAGTAGATGGCAGTGAGTATCACGAGCGAGTTTTGCSTTGCCCGTACCTGAATGGGATCCTTGCGGGTTCGAGTTGATGTGTCGTTGTACTGCCGTATTCTGATGAGAGTCCCTTGAAGGGGATTTGCTGCTGCTCCGAGATAATCATTCTCATTGAGCACAACCACAAGTTTTTTATTGGTGTTTTTAAAAATATATTACTTAATCTTTAACCCTATTCGAAATAGAATAGAACAATTCATTCGCACACTATCCAGTGTGAGGCGCATACGTACCGGTAGTTCTAATTGGAAATTGGTTGTGTTTTTTTTCCTCGCTGTGGAAGTGGAAGCTAAGGTAGGATACCGTACGTACCGTAGTACCTTGTACTGTACGACTTCAAAGTTGTTATTCGCAAATGCATAGACTTGTAAGTCTCATCCATCTGTCCTTTGTTCGTCTCATTTGGCGTCGTTGATACTGTACGTACCGTATTGCTTTTGACATGSACCAYYATRGATTTACCAGTACGMGTACTCGCACGTACGACTGTCAACCAGTTCCGASTATTTTTTKGAAATCTTGAATCTTGATGTCTATCAACTCTCAGTATCCAAGAAAATTAATTTGTTCATGGCATCCTGTTCCTGGTCAAAGAGCACCTCTTACTCCCTAGAGTATAGAACGGAGAATTGATTCGGTGCTAACATTCTACTGCTTTATAATCTGCTGTGCCATGATCGAAGTCGCCGTGATTGGTGCCGGTTCGGCCGGACTGGTAACGGCACGCCACCTACTAGCCAGTGGCCTGAAATGCTGCATTTTCGAAGCGACCTCCACCATCGGGGGCGCCTGGTCGTGCCCGCCTTCGCCGCCATCGATTACGCCTCACGATGCTTCCGATGGGATGATGTGGAAGGGGCTCCACACCAATCTTTCCAAGCACMCCTGCCGCTTTTCGGATTTYCCCTGGCCCGACGACACGCCGACGTTTCCGTCGAAAGAGGACATGGATAGCTATCTAACCTCCTATGCCAACGAATTCTTCCTTGTTGATTGCAACAAAGACAAAGAGGAYGAGAAAAGCAGCGRCAATGAWTCTTCGTGTTCACTTCTGTACGATTGCAATGTCACTAAGATCTCGCCGATCGTTGGATCTTCTCCTGCCGATGACCAGCAGTACCGGGTGGAGTGGACGGACTCGGTTCACCAAACAAAGCACTCTAAGGAATTTGGAGGAGTCGTCATCGCAACAGGATTTTTCTCCAGACCCAAGTACCCCTCGGGTTTTCTTCCAGAAATACTTGGGAAAATGAACCGCAACGACGACAGCAATGCGGATCGCCGAATGAAGATCTTGCATTCCAAGGACTATGGCTCCCACGAGCTCTTTGCTACGAAGAGCGAAAAGGTTGTGGTGGTTGGATCGTCGCACTCGGCGTTAGAAATCGCTGTCGATGTTTCCAAATCGGTGGACAAGGACGTTCCCGTCACGGTRGTCATGCCCACAATTCCGTGGGTAGTCCCCCGGTATGTACCGGATCCGGCTGCCACCAGCCCCAGCTTTTTGCCTATCGACCTGGCCTTTTATCGCCGACAAAACAGCAAGGAAGAGTGTACCTTTCTGACACCCGATTCCTGCCGCAAGCGTCACGAGGGKCTCCGGGCGATTCTGGGATCGCGGCAAGACTCGATCCTACCGGTTCCGAGSRATTCATTCGGGGAAGCCCCAACGGTGGCCGTGAGCGATTATTTCTTGGACCTAGTGGCCGACGGAAGGATCGAGGTCATTCACGGGCGTGTAGAGGGCACGACCGACGATGGAGAGGGATTGAGGATTGCCCGGGCCGATAGCGCAGGCAGCGATGCGTCGGTTATGCTGCCAGGCGTGTCTTCCGTAATTTGTTGCACGGGGTTTCTGCCTGATCTGGAATCGTGCTGTGGTCCTCTCGAGGACGGCTCCTCGGAATCCGAGCCWYTATCAATATTGAAGACCGTCGACTACGATTCGACCAATCCGTTCGCTCCCATGACGACGTACCTCGAAACTCTTCACCCCAATCTTACCAATTTTGCCTTTGTGGGGATGTACCGCGGTCCGTACATGGGAGCCGTCGAATTGCAGGCCCGTTTGGCCGCCGGTGTTTTAAGCAAAAAAGTTTCCATTYCCGAGGAGGATTTCGATAAAGGGCTGGAAATTTCCGAGAGGATTCGCAATCCAGAAGATTCGTCTCTTCGCCCTCAATTCCCTCGCTTTGACTACATCGGATTTATGGACTCACTGACGGGATCACTGTTTTCATCCGGTAGCACAAGGGAGCAAGCGCCTTGKTTCCCGGCCCAGTATGACCTCACAGAGGGAAGCATGGTYACCCCAGCCTTTTACCAGCCCRATCAAGGCATAGCGGATCTGGCTCGACACGATCTCGACCAAGAAATCGAGAAAGGAACGAACGGACAYCACCTCCCCCGTGTAGTGACGAGTGCTTTGATCGGRTCTTGGTCGTTCGAGCGAAATATTCTCCATTTTTCCGGTGGCGGCAGAACCATTGCCCAGCGGCAATACATACACGGGAAGGTACGTTATTCTCGATCCAAAGACCTCGGCCAYGTGTTGTACAGAGAAGATGGCCTCTTCGAAATATCCGAATCGAAATCCCTCCCGGTCTTTCGAGAGTACGAGTACGTGTGCTCGAGAGACGAGGACGGCGGTGGGGGGGCCCTCGAGCTCTATTTTGTTGAAGGAGGAAAGCGCACATATATTTTCYTGAGCCTCAAGTTTCAGCACCAAGACAAGGATGGCTACTGGGTTGCCACCAACGATCACCTCTGCATAAAAGACCTGTACAAGGCAAACTTTCGAATCAAACTCRACGGGCTCGCAGCGACGGAAGTCATCATCACGTACCGTGTTAAGGGACCTGCCAAGGACTACGAATCAACGACGRTAATGAGACCCCAATAAAAGTACTTCGTATTTGWAGATGAAAAGTCTAGGCTTGAAGCTAAAGTTTGTTCTTTTTAGCTTGCACTTTCTMCTATCACARCGCGAACGTTGTTATGAAGAAWTTTTTGGTAGACTACTTCTCATGATTACTCGAAAAGAACGACAATTTAATYCAGTTCAATGGAGTTCATGTGCTCTCCATGATSCTTCGTTTCGCATCGCATGGTTMAATAAACGAYAGGTTCGTAATCGATTGTTTCTGATCAAACAATGGTTTTCATTGCGAATARAGTTGACTTCACCGCAAGTTGCAAGGATAGCCAYTGGCGTAAACGAATGATTGCGTCAGAAGGAAAAGAAGGTATTCAGGACGTCCATTGCAGCGAGAGGTGCATATAGAACACCCTGGCCTAGAAWAATACAAATTATCACATAGAAGAATGGATCGTTGAGACACACGTGATCATCCTAACCTATTGGCAAGAACACGATATAATCTTTCTAATCCACTGTTATGCATGCACAACGTTACTCACCTTCAAATCCATAGACAAGAAGAATCCGGTSGTCGGACGCAGAGTTTTCGATCCAGTAGTTCCTCCCAGTTTTCGGTTTTTGGTCGAAGCATGCCGGTCGAAACCCTAGCCGACGTGCCAAKACCGGTCCGATACCACCAGAAACCACGAACTTGTCGGCGTGCCGGAGGATGGCCTCCTCTAAGATCTCCAAATCGGTCGTCGAGAACCCTACCGCCTCACGACTAGCTCCAACCAAGAGTGCGCCGTCCCTGGATGATAASGTAAAATGAATCCCCTGSGTGCCGTACCCAAATTCCATCATTGGAACCAACTTTGACTCTTGCTCCAGTGCTTTTACCACTTCTTCGTTTCCGTCAGTTTTGTATGTCGACGTCGACGGCATTGCGTCTTCTAGGGCATCACCCACGCCCGCCTCTAATAGCAACCCACGGATGGGCTTTAGATTGACGTCTTCTAGATCGTTGATCCAGGGACCGGCACAACAAATCACACAATCAAATCCGGAATCGCTCGGATCGCCTCCGCCAGCAGCAGTTCTCGTCCGCAACTCGCTCCGAAGATCCGTGACCGTTCGATGGTCTGTCTCGAGCCGAAACTTGGTCCGGAGGAACTCGATGAGCTCGAGAGGATTGCACGTGTAGTCRTCGGGGGAGTACACCCCGTGAAACTCGCCGGGMCGGAGGAGGAAGTTGTGCGTCGATGCATCGGAAAGGAACTGCAGGTTCGGCAGATGCGGRCTGTTCCTAGCGCGCTGGTAGTAGTCGTTCAGAGCGGAAGCATCGCGGTTAGGTGCGATGAGCAGGGATCCAGTCTTCTTAAGGAGGGGMTGTCCATCGACGCCGTCGCCGTCGCCATCGCCGAGCAAGTCCCTCCAGGCGTTCTTGGCCATCACGGACGTTTCCAGGCCAACGGCGTCGTCGAATCGGTGGATGCTCCAGAGGTAGCCCTGGCCGGCTCGAGACGTTTTGAACGGGCGTCCATCGTCGATCAGCGTTATCTCTAATGAGGGGCGGTTCTTGGCCAGGGTTGCTGCGATGGCTGTTCCGAYGATTCCATCGCCGATGATTCCGATCCTCATAGTGGGTTCTGTTCTATTCGAAWGACGAGCAAAACGAGTGATTCAATTTTAGATGGGAGTGTCACGGAGGAAACTCTCCAGGTACGGTGATGTACGGAACCGTACTACGTACATACTGTACCGTAGAAATGGTTCATTTCTTGCATTGGAGGAAATAAATTGGGGTTAAGGCTACTAGGGTACGAGTAAGGGACTAAGGCTTGTGGGGAAATCGGGGGATTGGAATTAGATTAGGCAGAATRCACCAGTGGGATTCAAACATCAAAGCTGGCGCGAACAAAAAATGACAAACCTGAGAAGGTGTCAMGATTTTTTGCACGGTTCGTACTGTAAAAAATACGGTATCAAATCATTTTCCCAAAGCAGGCGGACCACAGCAGCAGCAACCCACCACAGAACAATGCCTCCATTTCTCTGTTGGCTAGTTCGTGGATGGGTTSTTCTCGTGGCGATCATTCCGCTGTCTCGAGCCCGGCGGGAAAAGGTTCGAACCACGTGCGACGATCCCACACGATGGACGCCGGTCGCGATCTTTTCGAGCCGTTTCACCGCCACAGCTCCCAGCGATGATTTCCAAGAACGACGGAACAGTACGGGTTGCAGAGGATCGATCCGTGCAGCAACACGAGCTACAATACTATCGAAGAGAACCCAATGGAGGGAATTTCGCGGCAAGATTCGAAGGGGGGTMTTGGAAGGACGGTTCGCATCTGGAATGAAACGTTACCTGGAAATCGTATTGCTGAAGCAGCGGCACGGGATGGAGCGTATCGCTCGATCGGCTCGAAACGTTGCGGGAGTGGTCCTCGGTGTGTGGATGGCCTTCGCTGGCGGCTTGTCGACGCCACCGCCCTTGTCTGCTTCGACTTCGCTGACTGCCCCGGAGCTGTCGCTGGTCCTGCAGTGTGGAATGTTGGCGTGGGTGGTCGTGRACGATTGTTTGACCCGACATTGCGCCCACCGAGCTGATGTCAAAAATGACACGGCAACTTTTGTCGAGGCCAGGGGCAGAAACGATAAATATACAACGCATGCCTACTACAATATAGCCATCGGTGGCCGCGATTGCAAAGGGAATGACCCCACTAGTAGCACCGACCACTATGAAACCACCGGGGTCGCAACCCGGGAAGCACGGTCCCCAATCATTGGCCACAACGTTCTGTTTAATGACGGCATTGCCGTCGTGGTTGCCCTTCTGGTGTTGCTCGCAATCAAAAGGAACCCGCACCACAAACCTCACCGAGCCGTGTTTCAGATGGCAGTTTTTTTKATTTGCATCTTCCGAGTCACCGTGCGATCCTTCCGATCCATAGTCGATGACGTTCTTTATGTAGAACATACACGTCGAAACAGCATTCTCTACCGATACCTTCTTCGAAGGCGCCGTGCCTCCCTCCCCGACGTTTCGAATCTGCAGAAGMGTTTTCTCGAGTGGATGGCTGGTTTTTTGGTTTTGGCAGCTCTCTCTTGCGTGTCGTCATCCAGTAATGCACCGCTGCTGCCTATGGTCGCCGCCAGCCTCATGGGRGCGACCCTCGTGGCCGACAGCGTCGTAGACGAGGTCGTCAACAATTGGTTCGACCTGCTCCTCCGGCGGCTCGGTCGAAAYCAGCGCAACGCCGTYGTCGCCCACATTGTCACCGAAACCATCCAGGAATCACTGTCAGACCGGGTATTCGGTCGGCTTCGGGAGGCGTTCCAAGAATTTGAGGACATGGTGAAGGGATCGGTCGGAATCGATGGAAACAGTAGCAGYATCTGGAGCGAAGGGGAAGGGTTCCCCAAGGACGGGAAAAGGAGCGATTCGAATCTGTCGTTCCTAMATGATCATACGAAGAAAGCCATTTCGAAGAACACARAGCTGCAAATGGTTTGGACCCTTGCGGCATCGGGTGTGCTTACACAACTTTTTATTCTTTGGCGAGAACCCATAGGCTTTGTAGTGAGAGAGGCCCTGCTGTCGATCCATTCCGATGCTTTGTGGAATGACATGTTCCCTGACCTCCCCTTTCCGAAATGAGTAACCCCATTWCTGTTGCGTCTCAGACCCATTTGAACTAAGTGTTTCGATACAAGTTGCTCCCTTGCAGCGTGATTCGTCATGTTGATCCTTCGCAATTAACTTAATCTCTTGTTGGTGTTTGTTTATCTGAAGAATAATGTGTACTRCGAGTAATCTCCTCTCTCCATTCTTCTCATTTTCATTCTTGCAATACTMCTAKWMTAMTMA